AAAAAAAAAAAAAAAAAAAAAAACAGGTCACATACAAAGAATCAGATAACAGAATATCTTTAAACTTTTTGGCAACAACATTGGAAACTAGAAGACAGTGAAGGAATGCCTTCAAAATTCAGAGGGAAAAAGAATTTTCCAACCTAGAATTCTATACCTTAACTGTCGATTGTGAGCTTAGACTAAAGACACTTTCAGACACGTAAGAACTCAACTAGTTTACCTCTTACGCATCCTTTTTCTGGAAGCTACGCGACAAAGTGTGCCACCAAAACAAGGAAGTAATCTAAGAAAGAGATAACAATGGGATCTATGAAACAGGGGACTCAAGTCAAAAGAAAGGCAAATACAATCCCCCAGATGGTGGAAGGAGAGCCGAGGCTCAGAGCCGGGCACCAGGCTAGACAGCAAGTCCAAAGGTTCTGGGAACGTGAAACTCAGAATTAATACATGCCTGGCATCTTTGAACATATGGATAGGAGACTTAGACAATTAGGGTGGGGGGTTGTTTTTTCTTTATTTTTAAAAATTTTGTTGTGGTAAAATACATATAACCAAAAACTGCCATTTTAACCATTATTAAGTGTACAACTGAGTGACATTAATTACATTCACCATGTTGGGCAACCAGCACTACTATCTATTTCTAAAAGTTTTTCATTACCACAAACAAAAACTCTGTACCCCTTAAGCAAGAACTCCCTTTTACCCCTTCTAGCCTGCCCCTAGTAACCGCCAATAAACTTTGGGTTCTGTACATTTGCCCATCCTAGATATTTCATATAGTTGGGATGATACAATATTTGTCCTTTGTGTCTGACTTCTTTCACTGAGACACAGAATAGACACGGAAAAAAAAAATAACAGAAAGGCTGGAGCCTTGTCCGACCGGATAGATAACATTTTAAAGTGACAGAATTGATTTTGTGTGTGTGTGATAAAATATGCATAACAGAAATTCACCATTTAAACCATTTTAGAACATGCAGTGCATTTAGTACTGTCACCAAATTGTGATAGTCCCTGACTCACCATGTATTTGAGTTACTACAGACCATACTTAAGGATGTTTTTTTTTCTGTACGTCTTATGTTGGTAATATGTACTGCATACAACGTTAAAATATATCTGTAAGCTTATAGGTAATGTTTCCAACCCCCCAAAGACAAAGAAGGTCTGATTTGTAAAGATACTGATAATAAAAGGCAATAATAATGAAGACTAAAAAAAAAAAAAATGAGGTATTGACTTATGTCAGAACTGACTCACTACAGAGTCATAGGAAGGGAGCCCAGAAAGGGAACCCCGTGGTAAGTCCAGGACTACCTGCCTTTTCATCACCCCAAAAGAAACCCCTGTGCGCGTCAGCAGTCTCTCCTTCCCCAGCCCCTGGCGACCGCTAATCTGTTTTTTGTCTCTACGCATTTATCTATTCTGGGAATTTCATATAAATGGAATCTTTTGTTTTTAATTACTAAGGTAAAATTCACAAAACAAAATTAGCCCTGTTAAAAAGTTTACGGTCTAGTGGCATTTAAAAAAAATTTAAACCAAACCGTTGCCATAGAGTCGATTCTGACTCATAGCGCCCCTACAGGACAGAGTAGAACTGCCCCATAGGGTTTCCAAGGGGCGGCTGGTGGATTCGAACTGCCCATCTTTTGGTTAGCAGCCGTAGCGATTAGCCTCTGCAGCCTTTAATACAATGTTGCGCAACATCACCGCTACCTAGTTCCAGAACTTTCTGATCACCCCTGCAGGAAACCCCGTAGCCGTCAGGGTGCGGAGAGAGCTGTGCGTCAGCGAAGCAGCGCCTGCGTGCAAAAGAGTTTGCGCAGGCGCACGGAGGTCACGTGTTGCTGCTGAGGGGGAGGCATTTGGTCTGCGGCAAGCGTTGCGAGCGGTAGCATGGCTGAAGCGAGCGCTGCTGTGGCCGAGGCTAAGCCCGATGCAAAGACGGTGCAGGTCCTGCGGGACATGGCCAACCGCCTGCGCATCCATTCCATCAGGGCCACGTGTGCCTCCGGCTCCGGGTAAGTCGCCCACGGGCGCGGGGCGGCCGGCTGTGGGCCTGTGTAGCCGTGGAGTGACTGGGAGGGATCGAGCCCCGTGTGAGTCCTGGGACCCAGCGCCATCAGGAGGGTGGCGCCTTGGTCGCAGAGGCCCGACTCCGGCTATCATCACCCCACTTGGGCACGTCCCTGCCCCACCGGGGCCGAGGCCGCTGGCCGCTGGCGGGGTTCTGGAGGTGTGGGGGTTCTGCGGGTGTGGGGTCCACAGGACCTCCCCCGTTAGGCAGAGAAGAACTTGGGCCTGTTGGGGAGGCCAGCTTAGACCCCAGGATCGTTCCAGCCGTCCTTTGCGTTTTAGCGGGAAGCACTTGCAAATCGTCGATTGTTTTTACTTTTATTCTTTTGACTTTCGAAATTAATAATTTGAGGGGAGGGCGCGTTTTCTCAAGGGGTCTCTAATGGTTTTAAATCCAAATCATCCAAATCTTGCAGTGCAAGAAGTATGAACCCCCGCTTTTTGTATTCTGAAACTTGAGAGGCCTCAAATCCTGGTCTTCTGACTGTGGGGGCAGGGCTCCGGGGAGTTGGTTTTGTCCCCCTTTTTTATTAATGCGTGAGGGACCCAATGCAGGTGATTTCTCAGAATAGCAGTTATCTCGCCTTCAGGGAGGAGGGGCCTTGGGTCACTGGACCATGAGGAATTTCTGAGCCTTTAACCGTTCATGTCCTAAAAGAAATTCATTGTCGGTAGTAGAATGGGATCTTTGTTGCCGTTCTGCTTGCCGATTCCCCTGGAATTTCCTCAGCCTGTGAAAATATCACAGGAATTCAAACGGTGAAGGAATGAATACTCAGGTGCTTATGAAGTCATGCAGTGAAATCCAGAGCGCGTGGGTGCTCCACTGATAGGAGGAGGGCTGCTCTGGAAGCTTCTCACTCTCCACAGGGAGAGGGGTTGTGAGGTCACTGGATTTTAAGGCATCCTTCAAGGCCGTGAACTTGGGAGGCAGTGGCCCTGGTTCCCTTTCCCTTAACTAGATTTTTCCAGGGCTGGGAGAAATGACCCTGCTGCTTCCCATCTGAGGAGACCACATGCTGAAAGGCAGCCTTGTGCCTTGTCCCTCGCTGGTCACTTGCCTGTGAGAAATGACCTGTGCCATGTTTGCCTTTCAGCCACCCCACATCGAGCAGCAGTGCTGCTGAGATCATGTCCGTGTTGTTCTTCCACACGATGAGGTACAAACAGTCAGACCCAGAGAACCCGGACAACGACCGCTTCGTCCTCTCGAAGGTGAGCTGGCTCTGGAGTCCAGGGTCTGCTCAGACACTGGCTTCTTAAACTCATTTTAAAAAGCCACCATGTGGCAGCGAGGCCAGAAATGGGTTCTGGTTATCATTTTGGTTCTTTTTTCTTTGAAATTATAAAGACATAAAGGGTGTTCGGGTGAGGACCGCTTGAAGCTACAGGGCAGATGGCTGGTGGCACCTGGTGCGTTTTCTTCCCATTGGTGGCACCCTGGCTTGCCCCACCTAGCACTGAGGTCCCTCTTTTGCAGGGCATTGCAGCTCCAGCCCTCAGCTTTCCCCTCTTTTTCTCAGCAGATTTGACCTGGCCACAACAGGGTACCTTTTCATTAGATACAATACTAGTATGTTGGGATTTTGGGGGACAGGAAGGAAAAGGAATGGTAAAAAAGCAAGGTCCATCCAAAAAGGATAAGCAGCTGATTTGATGCTATCTGAAAGGACACTGTGTCCTAAGCAAGTCATTTGAACTCAACTGGTAGAAGAGCATCTTCTACAAACAGAAATAGAAGTTGGGGGCAGTGGAAACTAATTTAAAGACAAGTTCAATATGTGTAGAGCTGAAATATGTAGGGGGTCATGATTACAACCCGTCTTGGTGTTTGAAATGTAATCTCAAGTTTGGGGCAAGAAACTAAATTGTATATGTGTGTGTACTGTGTGCATATGTGTGTACTGTGGGGATGTGTGTGAGAATGTGTATCGTGGGGGTGTGTGAGTACGTGCTGTGTGTGTGTTGTGTGAGTGTGTGTATATTGTAGGGGTGTGTGTGCATGCGCGTGTGCAGGTGGAGAGAGAGATGAAGCAAATGTGGGCCCATAGTAGCAATTGGTGAATCCAGGTGAGGGTATATGGCAGTTCATTGTGCTATTCTTACATCTTTTCGATAAATTTGAACTTTTTCAAAAACAAAAGTTCACAAAACTTGAGTGATCCACTCTTTGGTTGAAAACAGAAAGACTCCTCGGTTATCGTGCTACCGGTGGGCGCTGCCAGATTCTGTGCGCTCAGGTGGAGGTGGCAGCTAGTGTGGGAAGAAAGAAGGTGCCCAGAAGCGCAGCCCATCTTGCTTTGAGTCGTGCCTAGAGTCTGGGCGCAATCCAGGCAGAACAGTCAGGCCTTCCTTGTAGGTGCTCCTGAAGCACGGGGATCACAGGGCTCACCCCTGTATCTGCTGTTGAAAGTCCCAGGGCCAACTGTGAGGACTGGAGTTGCTACAGACTAAGGCGTGTGGCTGGAGTCTTCCTGTGGTGGGGGGTGGCCCCTGGCATCCCCTTCCGGACCCAGTGCTTTGTTGGGCTTTTATAAGCTCTTCTGTTTCCTCAGCCGAGCAATCTCGTGTGCATGCCTTTCCGTGAGCTTGGTTCTTGGACTCATTCAGTGCCGACTGGGAAGAGGCAGTGTAGGAACCAAGGCGAGAAGTCTTTTTCCAGAACACATGTGGAAGAGAAGTTGTTGTTTTCTAGGTGCTCAGAGCATTCGTTTTAGCCGCTAGCCTCCCTTAATTGTGAGCACCTCCCCCAAAGCAGAAGTGCCTTCAGGGAAGACATGGGAGTCCCTGCCAGGCCCTGCCCCCGGCCAGCCTCGTGCCAGTGCTCTGCCGAGCTTCTCACCCATCCTGACAGCTCCTATCTCTCAGGGAGGGGCTCTCACCTCCACTTCACCAATAAAAGGAATCCCTGAGGACATGGAGGTACCTACCCCACTAGCAGTAAGCAGAGTTGGTCAGAGCTCAGGCTCACCCCGTCCCATGGCGAGGCCTCCGCTCAGAGGGTACACAAGGCAACTGGGAGACAGGGCTTGTTACCGGGAGCGAAGCAGGAGGTGTGGGAAGAAGCCAGAGACGCGGTCAGAAGAGCCTTCAGAAGGGCAAAGCACAGGGAAGAAGCCAGGAAGGTCAGAAAGGCCCAGGAGGAGTAGAGGGGAGGGTGGAGGAGGGGAGTAGAGGAGTGGGTGGAGGAGGGGAGTAGAGGGGAGGGTGGAGGAGGGGAGTAGAGGGGAGGGTGGAGGAGGGGAGTAGAGGGGAGGGTGGAGGAGGGGAGTAGA